GTGTGTGTGTGTGTGTGTGTGTGTGTGTGTGTGTGTGTGTGTATATATATATATATATATCACTATGCATACATATAGCAATGCGTTAGGAAGAATGAGTACGTGTGTGCTTGTCTTTGTTTATGTGCGCATATACTCATATTACCTTCGCATTTGTGCAAATAATATTTTACAATACAAGCGCTAACACGATACCAGCACATACTCGAGGGTGCACTAAAAGAGCATTCAGAAGAAATTTTTGAGAAGTCTCGCACGCTTGCAACTCATATACGATATACAGCACTGCAGGTCGACGAGCGAGTTCTTATACAATACATAAATGTGTGCCTCTCGGCTTTTGTTTAAGATGATATGCACAACAATATGTCCGCTAGTTTGCCTGTACATACCATGGCCACAAAGGGATATTGTTGTACAACTTGGACCATGTGATCAATCTCTTGGCGTAAGTTGTGTTTCCAGACTTCGCGGATTTGGAACTTGCCTTCCGCTTCGGCTTGTTTAGTAGCGTTCATCTTGTCTAAATTATTCTCCCGTGTATCTATTTCTAGTTTCATAAGTCTTTCGTATACCGTTCCTTCGTTCGCATTCGTGTGAGAAGACGGGTGTACTTAGTAGACATAGGTGCTGCACGTTCTATGCACACGATGGTATAGTATGTACCTGAAGTATACCTTTTGGTGTACTTCGAAGATATAATGCTGGCTACTCAGTGTCGCTATAACACCCCTTACATAAGCAGTTCACGACGTATGGCCGCGGCTATGCTTTTTCTTCGCATGTATGTGTGTGACGAGTGCGTGTACTTGTGTGCGCAACCACGCTCGCTATGGGACTCGGGATTACCTTGTCTGTAGGTGAGATCGGCAAATTGTATAATAATATATTGGATCTTCGTATTTGCAAACTGTCATCCTATAGCTCTACGGTATTTAATAATATATTCAAGAAGTGGTACTATCCCCGATATACGATGAATAGTTGTGTAGAGTATTGGTATGGACTGGGGAGTGGGGATTACTGGGAACCCTCTAGTAGTAGAGAGGGAGCTACGAGTCCTGACCTCAATCCGTTACATATAAAAGTTTAACGTAGTAGCTATTTACGTATTCGATTTATACACTTCGAAACGTTTATTCGAGTCCAAAAACTGGGGGAATTCGATCAAGACCTATATTCGAAATAAGCGTACACTCTCTGGTCAATACATCTAATAAATCTGAATCTCAGGGCTCCAAAGTTGTGTACCCTTGTAGGGAACCATAGGGGGCTATCCAGATATAAACGGTCAGAGTTCTTGTTCTTGTTATCATTTTTGTATATATATAAAATATTTGCTTGCTAAATGTTGCGCAAAAGAAATAAATAGGAGGCTATGAAAATCCCCAACAGCCATATACCCGCCAATTTGATGGGAACCAATAAATACACCAGTGAAACTATCGATATGCAAGTATGTACATCAAGAGAAGTTGAGCTGATTTGGAACAAGTGTAGACGCAAACAAACAGTGTACGCTGTAGCTCGGTTGTACTGACCACATACTGCTTCCATCGCTGCTGTGTATAGAAAGAGCGTCCACTTTCTATTAAAAGTGAAATTTGATTAGAATTAGTAATTATAGGCTTATCGACTAGAACGTGATCCGTTGGCCGCACTATGAGGAAATTTTGTAAAAATGAAGAGCAGTTTCATTGAATGTGACGTTCTTAAGCTATAATCTTGTGCTTTCTATTAGGCTTGTACATGTAAGACACTCCGCTGCACGCCAAAGTAAGCAATATGCACATCCTGTTCTAGTCAAGTCTGCTGTACCAATATAGCTATTGTGCGCAAAACTTCAAAATTGGAATTTGTATCCTACATATATACACGTTCTGTATCTACTTCAGTAGTAGCACTGTATTTCTATACCTATACAGTGTAGGTAATGAAGGCCTCCACATAACGACCTAATATTGTATTTAAGGTGAATTGCATCGAATTAGTTACTCTTGTGTCATTGAGCATTTACAGTCGGTTTAGATGATGTGTAGCCCAAATTTCTGTAAGATTACAATCATCCAGTCTCATGACTGTCAAACAGTTCCTCTTGTGTGTTATTTATTCCTAGTATGTAATAAAACTATCCAACAAGAACCGTAAGCGATTATCACAATACACATTTCGACTTATTTGAAAGAAGACTAGGGCGTTGTATCAAGCCAGGGGAGAGTAGCGCCTACGTGATCCAAAAAAATAACTTTGTTGATACGCGTACTGTGTATTTAGTGTGTGGCATATTCTCATAACTAAATGATGTTCTCGATGTTTGGCAGCGAGCATGAAATATTATACCTGCTATATAAATCGAACATGTGCAAACTTGAAATTCGTGTTGCGGACGCTGCTCTGCCCGATTTATAAATCTTCCACTTATGACTAGTCCATGTATCCTACCGATTGTAACATCATGCAGACAACAAACATCGCTAACTTACTTCTACAGGCTACCAGCTTATGGCTTCATGATAACAACGCGACTCGTGTCTTTTAAATAACAGCATAATACAGGCAAGTCATTTATTTGTGAATAATAGTCAGCAATCACGGCCTCCTAAAATAATTATGTACACAGCAACATGTATGTGATTTTTTACTAGAGGCTATGAGCAACAACTAAATTCAAACCCTAAACTCTAGAATTTAGGAAGGTTGTACATCTGTAGCTGTTGAACAAAATATTGTGTAAATAATATTGTGAAGTCCTGCTTCAATGCAACATTGAGGAGAAGGCCTCATATTTATTTTAAAGAATAGAACTGCTGGGCTTTCAATTATTCGTACATGTTGTGTGTTGAGCGAACACAAACGTAGCGATCATGGGCAACCAACAAAGCAATACCCTGAGCGATCAGAGGCAAGGAGATGTATACAACAGGATCAGTGCGGGCGTCCGCGAAAAGTTTGCGCACGGTGTATCGTATAATATGAAGGTATGGTACACGTTTGTCACTAGCCTGGACAGACATCGTATTGTGAAACCTTGTAATATATATATATATATATATATATACATATATGCATGTATGCATGTATGCATGTATGCATGTATGCATGTATGCATGTATGCATGTATGCATGTATGTATATGTATATATGTATATGTATATGTATGTATATGTATATGTATATGTATATGTATATGTATATGTATATGTATATGTAAATGTAAATGTAAATGTAATGTAAATGTATATGTATATGTATCTGTATCTGTATATGTATATATATGTATATATATATGTATATAGTATATGTATATGTATATGTATATATATATATATATATACTATA